CTCATCAAGCTCTATCTAATCATATATAAAAAAAGGAAAAAAAAATCTGCTTTAATTTTGCATTTCCGGAACCTTACATGATTTCATAGTTAATTTACATATTATTCAATAGATAAATTAAATTCTGAAGAAAACTATAGAAATAGTTTTGAGTTCAAATCAAAAATTGATTATAAAGAAACTTCGTGTACATTCATAGAACATTAAAATATGAAGAGAAAAAAGATCTTCTAATCAATCAAATGTATCTATGATTTTTATTGTGCGATGGCGAACAGAAGTGATTGTTTCGTGTAATTCTCTCGTATTGGTCATTTCAAAAACGTTTAATCCGTGAGTTTTGCTATGTAGACGAACCGAAAAAAACCATCCGCACCTTCAATTCATATTTCACCCATAAGTAAAAGACATTTGAACCAGTACAATCTTCAACCGATTTTTCCTTTCATTGAGATTTTGTCGAGATATGAATATTATTTTTTAAATCACAGCTATGATCCCGCATCAGGAAAATTGTTTTTTTTTGAATTTCCACTTGAAAGTGACAATAGTTTGTTTTGAGAGTTTCGAATCTTTTCGTTGTTCTTATCTTAAGAGATAATGGCTATGATAAAAAGTATGTCATTTACATCACTCCTCTGCATTCATAGATTCAATCTTCTTATTTTAGAATAGGGAATATATATCAAACGATTTGAAACTTTGACAATGGTTAGTTCTCGTTTCGTCAAACTTTTTTAAAGTTTCATTTGTTCTTGTTTCGTCGAAAATTAAAATTTGAATGAAAATATGCAGAATATGCTTAGCTTATTTACAATCATTTCATTTTCTTTAATAGATTAATTCAAAAAGAAAAATGATTCTGGATGGATCTTAAAAAAATTTATTAAGAGAATTACAAAAATTACACAGCTAATGGAGTCACCTCACTAATATCGAAAGGAAAACATGTTGAAATTTACCAACGTCGAACTGTGAAAATGTTGAGATATTAATAGTATTGAATGTGTGGATAGGCAATGAGAAAACTATCATCCTAAACCCTATTTTTCCACAATTAAAGTTTGTTGTTTATAAACACTAACTAAATATTTTTAATCAAAGATTTTAATTTACAAATAAATTTTTCGTAGTAGTATTGGATTGTTGGTTGAATGATGTAACTTAGTCTATTCAAGAGAACGATAAGCTACTTTTATTCTTCATCTTTTCTTTTAATTTTATTTTTCGACGAAACGAGAATTCATCCTTTTTAGGGTTAGCAAAAAATCATACTATTTATACATAAAAATTTTCTTTGTAATAATAATAGCCGTTGATCGATAGTATGACATAGGGGTATTTATATAGTGTCCTAATATTATCATATGATGTAAAACTTTCTAAACAAAATTTGAAAATATGTCCTATTCAAATAATTATCTTAATGATAGTATTTTATTTATATTTAAATTAAATTATTTTCACTTTATTTTTTTTTTATAATAAAAAATTTTGTTAATAATTTTAATAAATTTTCTAATGATAAAAAATATACTCAGAATATCACAAATACATTAACACAATAAATTCTAAATATAATCAATGACTAAAAAAAGAATATAATTATACAGTTTAGACTAAAAAAATTTATCTTGTTTAACCAATAATAATATCATGACTTTCCAACAAATGAGTAATCAGGAAGGCGACATGAGTATTAAACATAGTCGTCTACTCATGTAAATATAGTAGCAATTCTATACAAATACAAATACAAAAAAAAATGAAATGATTATACGTTTGAGTAGGCGTTTTGCCTACGCAATGCATGTTAAAAGAAAAAAAAAGAAGAAGATATGATATCAATAAGCGACGCAACGTATTAACAAGTATGAATCTTGATTCTTTTCTTTATGATACCGGCAACCAAGGTGTTTGTATATTAGCGACATACTCAAACACGTTCTATTATAAAAAGATAACATTAAAATTTGAGTTTTGAAGTTTTTCTTAAAAATGTCACATTTACCACCACCACCACCTTATACATCACAACAAACATCAAAAATATTGAATAATCAAAATGATGAACGTTCTTTCCTACAACAAAATTATGCTGGAGTTCGTCAAGCAGTTCGTAAAATTGATAAACCTGAAAAATCTAATGCTTTCTCTTCATCATATCCACCTCCACGTCCACCACCACCACGTCCTCCTATACCAACTTCAATAAAAAAGAATTATATTGATCGTGAAAATGACTCTTCACCATCATCAAATAGTTCATCAATTCAATCAACTAATAGTGAAAATATAATAAATTCAAATTCAATAGAACGAATAATACCATCATCAAATGAAAGATCTACTAAAAATTCAACAACGAAAATAAATCCTCTTACAAAATCAAATATAAGAACTAATATTCAAACAAAAAAACAATCAAAACCAATAAATCATCGTCGAAGACCACCACCACCAATTCCATTAAATACTTCAAATTATTTAAAACAACAACAAAGTATTTATTAATTAAAAATTTTATTCAACAATAATTTATATATATATCATATTTAGATATAACTGATGATTCAGTCTATGTAAATAGTAATAATAAATTAAAAAAATATCAAAATACACATCAAGAAAATGATTTATATGAATTACACTATGAAAATGATCATGAAGAATCAGAAATATTTAATGTTCATGCTCAACCAATATTTATTTCTAAAGAACATCAAATATCATCATCATTAAAAAGTGATGATAATATTCGAACAAAAATACCAATAAATAATAATGGACAAAGAAATCAAAAATCATCAGTAAGAAATAAAATATTAATATTTAAAAAAACAATATAAAATTATAAAAAAATATTTTATTTTAGTATCAAAATAAAAATTCTGATCTTGAAAGTGTTGGATTAGAAATACCTGAAACAAATACACCAACAACTCGACGAAATCTTAGAACTTCTAATGGGTATGATGATAATCGTCGTGATAATGTTCAACGTGCACCATTTACTGTTACAGATTATAAACAAAATGAAATTCAAGAACAAAATGGAGATAAATCATCTCTTTCTTCTCATGGTCCACCTCCACTACCACCACCACTACCTCCACCTACTAATGCTCTACCATCTTTTCATAAACAACAACAACAACAACGTGCTAATCATGAAGAAACGTAAGGGTTTATTATGTTTTTGATGATATTTATATTCGTTTATTTTTTTTTTTTTTGTGTTATAGATATTCACCGAAAAGATTTTTACCACTTTCAAATTTTATGATGGAAAGTGGTGCATTACTTATTGTTTTTATTCTTTGTATGGTACTTGTTTTAGCTATACGAGAAGATGAAACAAATCTTCGAACAACAATGCAGGTATTTATTATTTTCATATCTATTCTTTGATTATATTTGTATTTCTTTTTTTTCTTTTGTTTAGCTTGTTTATACTTATATCTATTTTGTTTCTATTATATGGATGATATGGTGTACTTTTGATATAATTAAATTTCGTCGACAATGGAGAGAATTAACAGCACCTGCTATTAGTAACGAAGAATATATGGATATAAGTGAACGTCATACAAATAAAATATTTTATTTTCCTGATATTCATAATACTGGTGGATTATTTATGAGAATTGGTGCTGGATGTAAGTGTTAACAAAAAAAATAAATACAAGATGTTATTATTTTTATTTTTTGAACATCTAGTATTTTGTATGGGTAGTCTAATTGTAACTGTTATTGAATTAGCAAAAACAATTGTAATAGGAAGTGGTAATACAACTCGTGTTTCATCGATTATCGTACCTCCTTTATTAATTACAGTAACAAAATCAATGACTTATATACTTCGATTTTTATTTCATTGTGTACAATTTACATTTTTATTTCGATATGGAAATGTAAGTATTCTTTTATTTTTAAAATAGAAAAAAAACAAAACATATTTGTATTTTTTTTTGTTAAATATAGATTGTAATTAATCGTTATCAAGTTATGGCTAAAATTGGTCTTATTCATTTAATTATTGCTAATTTTTGTACATGGTTTGAAGGTAAGAATATCATTTTATTTGAAAGTTAAAAAAAAAACAAAAATTGAATACTATATCTTTTAGCTATTGTATTCGAAACATTGGAACAATTGCACAAAAGTCCACAGAGTAATCAACCAACAAGTAGTACGCCGCATGTGACATATCCAACAACAACCACCACAACTTCTGGTATATATAGACATAATATTTGTTAAGTGTGAGATATAACTAGTTGAATTATTTGACCTACAAACTTTTGTATATCGAGCAAAAACAAAAAAGAAAAGAATATGTTTTATTCCAGAATTCTGAATTGGGACTGGGTTGAACTAAAGAAAGTCAGTCTATGGGTTATCGACTTTTGAGTCAGCCCGTTTGAAGCTCTATTTTATTCTGTCTCGTAACAGCACCCGTAAAAAAAGAGGCGACAGTTGAAAATCAGTGGCGCACACTCGCGGCCATTTTGATTACAAATGCAATTTTATGAGGTATGAAAGTCTAAAAACAACTCATTCATATAGAATCATAACTGTTTTACTAGATATTTTTATTTTACTTTTGGGAGGATTTCAGTCCAAATATATGTTTTTTTGTTCATATTGTGAAATATTAATATAATTGAAAAAAAAACTATTGCAACAGTTGCGTGATCCAAGACTTCATACAACTAATGGAAATGAATTTTAATTAGATTAGAAACATCCAAACGGGCTAATGAATCTTTATCCAAAATTTTGACTATTTTATTCGAATGTTATTCTATAACGAAGATAGTTAAAGATTTCTTTCGTACTTTTAACTTACTCTAAAACCTTTATTCATACTGAACATATTTTTCCGAAACTCTAAGAACTATGAAACATATTTATAGGTAGAATTTCACATCGAAAATAATACATTCTATTTTCATTCATACCTTATAAACAGTCAAAACTACTTGGACATTTTACTTTATTTAATATAATATCGTATTCATATAAACTTCTCCGTAGTGAAAAGGAAGGGATGACTTTCTTCCACCTTCTACCCTAGTAAACAAAAGAAAAATTATTTATTTATTTATTTAAATTAGATTATTATTTAATCGATACTGATAATTGGATTTGATACTAGATATTAAAAATAGATCTTGATCGAGATGAGTATCTCAAACACACGAATAAGTTACCATCATATACGATAGTCATTTACATTTATGATAAACATCAATCGTATACATGGTTGTTTACGATCGTACTTTTTCAACTGAAGAAATTCATTAATCTACGACAGTACTACTCACTTGAAGATTAGTGGGGCATTGTGAATAGAGATTTTATGAGACCAAAATTTGGAAGTTTGCCAGAATTGAAGCTACGAGAAAGAAGTTGTCCTAATCGGAACTAAAGATTATAATTAAATATTCTATGATATTAAACGAATTATCTTATCAATCAGAATATAATTCAAGAGAGATAACTCAAAAAAATGCTAGTTGTTGACTAAATAAATCAAAGTATTGAAGCATTTTTTAATATGTGATATGAATAGATTTTGAAATAGGTTTCTCATACCAGCACTGAAATTAGACCATCCATGTAATTTGAACTAAACAAAAACTCTCGCTATGTCGTGGATTTTTTGACAGTAGGGTATTATAGTGTACTATATCAAAACAGGTGAATATTTTTGAAGTCTATTAAAATTGACAGAATTGAATCGATTTCGATAAGTTGAGCTAATGTTGATGTGGTCCGTACAAGTAACCGTTACGAAATTAATAATTTATTAGTAAAATCTGTTCTGAAACTGTTTTCTTCTCGATAAATTTGAATAATTCAAATTTAGCTAGAAAACACTCTCTACAATCATTTTTTGCTGGAACTAAAAGTTGTAAACGTTACCGGCGGTAATGCGAATAATCGTACGACATGGGTAGATTTCTAGAGAGTAAAAACAAACACTTGGTTTTGTATATCTCTGGTCATAAATGAATAGTAATAGAATTTGAAATAGTTTTTCTTTTGATTAACTGTTTACAATTTTTTTTTGTCTTCTTTTTATTTTAAGTCATCACAATAGACGATAATATCACTAATAGTAATCTCTTTGATTTTGTCAGAGCAATGTCTGGTGCTACTTCTCATAGTGATACCGGCACACAACGAAGTACACTTGATGTTATAAATCAAATTGAATCAACTATTAATATTTATTTATATCCATGTTTAATTGAATACAGTCTTATAGCATTAACTGTATTCTTTCTTATGTGGAGAAATGTTGGTAAAACAAGAGGAGACGCATTTTTACGTTTTTCTGATCGTCATATATTTACAGTAAATTGTGCACGTGCTTCACGTGGTTTACTTATTGGTGGTATTATAATTTTATTAACAATTTTAACTCTTATACCAACATATTTACTTAATGATGATGCAATAGCAGTAACACATATAACTGAACTTGTTTTACTTACTGTTTCATTATTTATTGTTTTTATTGGATTTATACATACAACTAAACTTTATCATGATCCACATGCACATGTTGATGCATTTGATCGTGTATTAATATTAGTAACAACATTTGGAGATTTTGCATATTCATTTTTTGGTTTATTTGCATCAATATTTATTGATCGATCTAAAAGTCAAATACCGATTGGTATTGAAATATCAATTGGATTTTTAGCAATATTTCAAACATTTTTACAATCAGGTTTTATTTTGGATACATTAAAAAGACGAACAAAATCAAAATTCGAAATTCGAAATAAACCAGGACGAGAAACAGTTACAGCTTTATTATTAATTAATCTTGGTAAATAATTCTTTATTAATTTATTATTATATTTATAAAAAAAAAAAAAAAAATTTCAAATTTTTTATAGCCATTTGGTTACATGATACATTTTCAGCAAAAAAAGTAAGATTAAATCCTATACAAACTGCATATTATGATGCAGGCACATGGGCTATTATTCAAGCATTTACATCACCATTATCAATATTTTATCGTTTTCATTCAAGTGTATGTCTTGCTGATATTTGGCAAGAAGTTTATGGTGATAGTGAAAATCATAATGGAATAAAACCGAGAGAAAAATTTTCGAGACACCGTTTAGCGAATATGAATAGCCGTCATGACACTGAACATTAATATTGATGGTATTTTTTTTTTTTTTTTGGCTTTTATTTATGAACTAGTCATTGTTCATCGATTTGTTTTTATGTATACGAAAAGGAGATAAATAAAAAGAAGAAAAGAATATTTTTTTTAATGATTTAAAAAATCACATATGTAATGTTTTTAAATTGATTTTTTTTTCTCTTTATTTTAATTATTTATGACTTAAATAAACTAAGTTTTTTTTTTTTTTTTTTTCGTAGACATAGATTTAATAATGTTTGATATTAAAAATTTTACAATAAGTTTACCAATTGAGTAATAGTCAAGTAAAAAAAAAAAAAATATTCTTTTGAGTTTATATTCATTAGAAATTTTATGTATATTTAACAAAACAATAAAAAAAGAATATTACAAATTCGAAAGTACAAGTGAAATATGAAAGTAAATATATATAAAGGTATCGACCATTTCTTTTTTCAAGATAAAAAGACTTACTAAATTTAACAATATAATTATATGTGAACTTAGTACTGTTTGAAGCAAAATTTTATTTGATAATGGACTTTTCGGTGCAGACAATGACAAAACAAGTAATGTAGGTTATTTTTATGTTCGTGTTTTCAAACAATAACAATATATTCTTTGCTTTTTTTTTTTTTTATCAATATCATTTGTTTTTTTGTCCTTAGAATAGAAGATATGTAATCAGTATATATATCATTTTCGTCTTTTATATAATGTTATTATAAATATATTTTCATAAATATATAAAATATTCAATTCTATTAAAAATCATCTTACTCAAATTAAATGTTACACTAACTCCTACATATCAATAAATATTAATGTTACCCATTAACATAAATTTAGAGAAGTGAGAAGTTATGATGAATATCAAGTTTAATAATAGATGAAAAATGAAGAAAACAATAGAGATAATATCTTCGTGAGATAACAGAATTTTTATCAATAAGAATGATTTAGAGACAGTAAAATATAATGTAATATTATATATACTTTCGAGTTTTCTTTTATATTGTTGCATAATCTAAATACAAGTTCACGATAAATTTCTTTTCTTTTTTATTATTTTGAAGTGCTTTTGCAAAAAAAGGAAATGCATCAAAGTGTTTTTCCTATATAATTGTGCATCAAACGGATATTGTTATATGTATTAGCTAAAGAAATATGATTCGAAGGAAGAACTCTTTTGCAGATTTTCGACACTTTCTTTTCTTTTTTTATAGACTAATAGCGTTTTCTTATACTCATTATTGTGATGGTTAATGTATCTAAGTTTGTAATAAATATTTCCTAGCTGTATGACATTCGTTTTATGTTATACTATAATTGAATATACATATTCGACCTTACTGAATTGAGATAATGGAATCAACAATTGACTCTTTGAATGATATTTATTTGCAATTTGAAAAGGTTTGTTTCTTATATGCGTTCAATAAACATTCAAAGTTATTTGTCATGGTTATCGGTAAATTTGAATTATACATAATAAAGTCGATTAAGAATTTTGATGAAATTTTTTTATTGGTAAATAGAAAATTATTAGGGACATTCCTTTAAAAATCGATCTTGAGTGAAATACATTCAAAGTGTATGAAATTTTCAGAACATGTTGAGAGTGTAACAGAGAGGTGATATTAAAATTTTTAGTCCTATATTATGAAGTTTTCGGTAGGTATGTACCGAGACAGAGACGTTGCTGATAAAGATGATGTTTTTTCTCGATAAAGAATCTCTGAGACTCTAGGAGATTTTTATTGTGAACTGCTCAGTCTAGTTTCATATAGCTGTGCATACAATCGAACAGACTGATCACATCGAAAAAATGCCAAGTCTCGGTCAGTCTTGGTCAAAAAACTGAAAAAATGAACATTTTGATCGAGATTTGGCATTTTTTCGATGTGATTAGTCTGTTCGATTGTACGCACAGCTAGATGAAACTAGGCTGAGTAGTTCATAATAAAAATCTCCTAGAGTCTCAGTGGTTCTTTATAGAGAAAAAACATCATCTTTATCAGCAACATGTCTGTGTCGGTACATCCCTAGTTTTCGGGAGATATTCAACAAAACAAGGGTCAAAAATAGCTCATTTATCAATTCAAAATTCTTTGCGGGAAGTCGTTTTATAGATTAATTTCTTTTTATTTGAAAGAGCATGTGAGATTGCAATAACCTTTTACGGTAAAGGATAATAAGTTCAATACCTCGACAAATTCTAAGAACATAATCGTCTATTTTTAGAAGTGTTTTTTCATATAATAATAAAAAAAGTTTAATTCAAAAAATAGACACTACAGCTTCACATGTTCTTTTAGATAAGCAAAACAAAAAAAAGGAATTGGCTACACTAAAGCTTCTTTGGAAATTCTGGGATGTATGATCAGTGAAAATGATTTGCCACTTTTTCTGGAAAAGAAAACATCATTTTCAAGCAGAAGATGAAGATCAAACCTTAAGCTATCTTCCTATGCATATATCTCATTTTCGATTTTTCTGACGAAAATTGACTTTTTTTTTTTGATGAGACGAATCTTAATTGTAAGAATATCTATATTAATTAATCTTATCTGCGATAGACAATAAAAACTTCTTCATCATATACACAAAATTCTTGTTGATGCAGTTCTTCGATTTGATTGTATAAAAATTATGAATAGAGAAATTCATTTACATGAGAATATTTGATTTTACAGTAGAAGATAATTAAACATAAATAATAGATAACTATATCATCAAATAGCTGTCGGAAGACAATATTCTATTAGTTTAATAGATTCTTATAGAGGATGTGGATGTATGTATATTTTTTTTACTTAATTACTCGATTTATTAATAATTTTATTTACAGTTAAAACTTGATGGATTTTGCTGTTATTAATGATGTTTCGTAATTATTTCAGTGTGCTTTGACAATTATTTTTGAATGTAATGAAATTATTTTTGAGAAGTTCTTGATTGAATGATATAAGATTAAACCAATGTTTTAGTTGAACTTGTAGTAATTGAACATGTGAGAATATTTTGTTCATTCATATTGTTCAGTTTAAATTTTGTAATATATTTGTTGTATAAAGAGGAAAATTAACAGTATCTTTATGACATTATTTTTTTTTTCTCGACCTTTTTTATTGACATTCACGAAAGAATCCTTCTTATGGTCCATTGAGAGTTTGCTATTGATTTTATTGAATGAATTTCGAAAGAATAATACTGATTACGTTTTCTTTTCTCTATTTTTTGTATCGACAGATGTGTTCCAAGGTTGCCAGGATTGTGAAGAGTTGATGTTTAATTTGGTAAGGTTGGCTAGGTCTTTGAGAAGGGATTCAACGTTTTTTTTTTTTTTTGGGAGGAGAATTGGTGTGAAAAAACAACAATAAAACGCTGGAGAAAGATCAAGGTTGTTCAAGATTAGAGGGAGTCGTCCTCTTCTCCGCTCCGGATACCTTTCTACATTGAAGTATGTCATTAGATTGACAAGATAAAAACCTTGCATCATTTAAATTGATGCCTGTCACAGTCATGCAAACAAAAAGTTTGTAGAAAAAAATAAATAAATAAATTGAAGAAATAAAAATAGAGATAGCAATTCTATTTAACAAAGAATATCACTTTATTCAAGCTAATCTAATGTTACATATCACGTGTCATTCAGACAATTTTTTTAAATATGTAGTTTTAACAAAAAGTATTTAAAATAATGGAGATAAACTAAATAGAAATATCGATCATGAACTATGTTAGCTTGACAACACTTATCAAACATTTTGATAATGATAAACTAATTATTCGATATTAATAGTATCCTATATTTTGTAAATGTACATAAATCAATTTTAACAAGTCAATAAATTTCTTGGAATACTATGATGTTTTGAATGTGAATGTTTGTCAAATAAGACATCCTATGCGGTTCGAATCGGACAAAAATCCGTTAGTATACCGATGGTTAATTGTCGATAGTTTGATCCTTAGACGCTTATCTATCTTGGTATACATCGACAGTTATTCTTTGACCCATAATCGCTGGTACTTATGGATAAAGTAGTAATGCGAACAAACATGCAACATAGAACAATCATCAAAATTTTCTTTTCTTTTTTTAGAATATAAGTTTGTTTGTTTTTTTTTTATTTTGTAAAAATACTTGATCAAGTTAAACATTTTAATACTATTCAATATTTTCGTTACATAAATATTCACTTGGTCTGAAAAAAAAAATGTTATATTATTTTCTGTTGTAATTAAATTTTACTGTCCTATCTGTTTTAATATTCTACAAAATATGACAATAATTGAAATATTCGATCTGGCAATATACATTCACAAATAAAAACAACTACATCATCTTCACTATTTGAATTATTTCATCTTTACTCATATTTTATTTTCATCTAAAATTTTTTGTGAGATTTTCTCTCCAATAATAAAACAATAAACCTTCAAATAATCATAAACATATGGTTTTCTTTTTTATCTCATTTGACAAATAGCGACATCATCATCATCAATTGATTTGTCATTCTTTACAGTCAATAAAAAATTTGCCATTTCCATTGTTATAATTGCATGTCCCTTTTTTCTTCCTCTTTGCATTCTCTTTTCTGACGCGTTTAATAATTCTCTCTTTTTTTTTTCTTCGTAACATCTAGAAATATATATATATATATATACATGTTTCTAATATATGAAATAACATCAATTGAATATACGTGATGTAATATAAACTATAATGGCAACATCAAATAAAAAATCATCAGCATCACATGATGCCAGTACAGATACAGACGATGATATACAATATGATTCTGATTCACCAAAAGATGATGATATTCATAATATGAAAGATATATTATCATCAACAAATTTATCTTCAAAACATCGCGGGTAAAAGAAAAGAGAAATTCTTTAGATTATTATATTAAAATAAAAATAATTTGTTTGTTTTTTATCTAGAACAAAACGTATAAATCATAAAATGAAACCTTGTCTTGTACATAGAACAT